TGATCTACCTTTTATTTTTTTTTGCAAGAAAGCATGCTAAAAAATTTGTAATCATATGGGGCATTCTTTTTAATTTTGTCTGTGCTGATACGTGTTGAGAGGCGCCTGACGATATTCCCACAAATCTGACTTTTTGAGAAGGAAAATATTTTTATCTGCTGACAAAAAAAATAAAAGAACATATGCTACAGTTTGAGGGAACAAAAAACAGATACAAAATCAGCCAATTGCCAGAATTAGGGAAAATTGACTGTTTGAGATTTATCGTCAAAAGTTGGTCTCTATGCTTCTTTTGTGTGGAGTCTGTACTATGATTCAGACTGTGAAATAAATATTAAAAGTTGTATAGTATCTCCATTTATTGTGAAAAGATGTTTTTGTTGCAGAAAAGTTGCATTATGTATGGAACAAAATTAAGGGAAATTTTTGTTAAAGTCCAATTTTTTACCCCATATATATGATACTAGCAAGAAATTTTATTTTTAAAAAGAACAAATTAAGTTATCTATTAAAAATAACCTATAATAAATTTCTTAATAGATTAAATTTGTGCTTATTAATGAACAGCTTATCCACTGATTATTATAGAAATATTTTAGTTCCAAGGGACCAAACAAACTTTATCCCAAAAGATGCAAAATCACATTATTTGCCTCAACTGCCAACTGCTACAATAATTCTAACGTTCCCCAGCAGAAAATTAAACTAAATGCACCAAATTTCCAAAAAAATAAAAAATAAAAATAATAATAATAATAATAATCAAGTTCAAAAAAATTCTGAAAAAGCTGATGATTTTCCTTGCTGGCTGTAACCTGACATTTACAGAGAACAAAAATATGATCTGTTGTAGACTTGGTACACAAACTCAGCTAACACATCAATATTACTTTACATTGAGTTCTGCAATCAGAATATGCTTATTTGGTGAAAACCAAAAAGAAATAATAACTATACAAACAAAATTTACTAGAGACAACTTGAAACAGGCTGGAAAAATTAAGCATTCCCATTCCAAATTCTCATGCAACCTTGTGATAAAAATCCTTTAAGGGAATTTGCATTTATGTGGTTAAATAGGTCATCGGCTTCCATCTTGTGAGTTTCTGATTATTGATAAAATGTTTCGCTGAAGCTTCTCGATTACCTGAGTCAACCAAAATCATGGAAATATTTATAAAAGTGGAGAAGGAATGCATAACAGATCAAATATCGTATAGTGGCAAAGGCATACCGGTTTTGATGTATTTGCCCATTTTAAGACAGAACCAGCTACATCTTTCAAGTGGTTTCGACACTTTTGATCGTAACTTAGAAAATAATCCGAGTTTTCAGTAGCTTCAGCCACCCACAAGCCATTTACTTGATCTCTCGGTCTCTTGGTGAGATTAACGAACCCAACCTGCGAACAGGACTAATTTAGTCAAACGTGTCGACTGTCGTCAAATTTTAATTATAAAAGTGACACTGTAAATCTCCCAAGATCATTTTTTTAAGTTTTAATCCACTTCATATTCTTAAAAATTTGACGCATTTGCAGTAGTAACATTACCATATCAACTATGAAAAATAAATAAATGTAATAATAATAATAATGTTTAATATAAATTATTAAATATTTAGTTCCCTAGTCAAATGCATAGGCGATTTAATTGATTCAAAAGAATTGTACGGAAGCAACAAAAAAATAAATAAATAGATACTGTTTGTGGCCGTCAAAGATTTTTTATTAAATATTCGGAATACTTACCACAGATCCAGCAGCATTGGAGTTTACTGGTGCACAAGAATCAAATTCAACCCATGGCAGGCAGAAGTTAATTGCCAGTATTGCATCTGACGAACAAACTTCTTTGGTAGACCCGTCTGTTACAAATACCCACTGTTTTTGTTGATGACCATGTCTATACACGTCTCCCACATAAATGATGAAAGCCGCAATGTCAAACTCCCTGTTAAAGTCACACATTCGTTATCGGTCAATTAACTAACAACTTATAGTTTCCAGAAGAACCATAATTCAATGATATAATCCGCAATTCTTACCCGGACAGAGGGACTTTACCCAAAGTCGATATTGCAGTCGAAGAGCGAGGATCAAAAAATGGCCTGCAAGAACCATTTACAGATTATGAAACAATTTTTACCATACTTCCAAAAACCTCAGAACAAGTGAGGAAAAAAGGCCATTTGACACTTCTAAACCATTACAGAAAAAATGAGTGAACGCTATTTGACCCTTTTCCTAATAAAGTAATGCAGATCTTTGCAGCCACTCACTCGAAATTTTCCATCATTACGGGGGAGAAAGGCAGCCACTTGCTGGACGATCCTCTTGCTTGTAAACAGAGGGTATATGGATCAGACTTAGATGGTACAAGACCTTCAACAGCATATGCTTTCCCTTCACACAGCTGTAGTGTCTAAGAGAAATGACATAAAACCCAAAATTGGACCACTCAATTTGGAAAAAGGGAAAGAACTCGACATGGAGATAAAATATGGAGTAAAATAATCTCTGCACTAAAAAAGTACAAAATTCACCTGTTTCTGAGTCGGGTTCCACACTGTTATCAAGCCTTGCTTTGGACGAGACTTTGGTGAATTTTTGCATCTTTTTGTCAAGCCAACAACTTTAATGCGAAAAAATGGAGTAACATCTCTCTCACTAAGCCCAGCATCCTCCACTGCTTTCTCGATAGATTTTTGCATCTCTGACTGCCTCTTCGCCTTGCATCAAAAGGGGAAATTTATATTAGAGTTACAGTCGGTTATGGATGGTGAGTCAAGAAAGATGAACATAGCATACCTCCAACTTAGCTTTATAAGATGCAAAGGAAGTTAGTTGCTTCGAGCTCATCCCCGCCATTAAAACCTCTGGTTCAGCAGCTGTCTCGAGTAGCTTCATAAGCTTGGCCCCTTCTTCGCTTTCATGATCACCACCGACATCGAATTCGGCTTCTCTCTGAAATGATGATATGATTCCTTCAGCTATAGTATCGCGCCTGAACTCAAAAGAATAAATAAATAAATAAATAAATAAGGATATAAAAGACGGTGAAAGAATCAAGAACATCCCTTCTACTTATTTTAAAACAAAGTTTAATGAGTAAGAACGCCTTTTAGCTGTGACTACTGACACAACACATCAAGTGTGAGATGAAGATATCATGAACTGATCAAGAGACCCATTGATATCCAAAACCCATTATATTTAATTATGTAAGAAGCCACAGGGCAACAATAAAAATGAGAATTGAGACGGAAAATGGAATGTATAATGGAATTTACAGTGTCTGGGCCTTTGCAGGTCAAATGTAAAAAGCAAAGAAAAAAGAAAAATAACTGACTGTTGGTATTGGAAAACCAAAGATAACAGAGTTGGGATATGTCAAGGTAGGTAACAGTTTGAAAATGTTAACCTCGTGGCTCGTGCTAAAAACACAATTTTCTCAATTTTTCCTTTGCGATGACTGTGTGACTACCTAATGATAATGAACCATTTAAACATTAATACATTATGAAATAGTATTCAAGCTATATCAGAGTAGTCAAAACAAAACTGAATCTCCTAGAATTCTCCAGCATTACTTGAACAAAAAATATAAAGATATGATTGCTAACCCATTTTTATGAACTGGATCACGTTATAACCATGTACGGAGCTGGTGCACTAATTTTCCCTTCATTTAGATTATTGGATCATATTATCAAATTTTGGACCACACAGCACAAACGAAATAAACACTTGAAAATGAAAACTATGAATAAATTATTAGCAGACACACATAGTTTTTTCATTCTCATTAAGCTATATACGATGAATGAAAGAATTGATTAAAATTGGCAAAGCAAGTTACCTTTGGTTATACAATTGCAGTGCCTTTGCTTCTATCCTCTCAGACCTCACAACAAAACTCCCATTACTTAACCTGAATAGAATGTTACCCATATCAAATAAAAACAAATGAATAAGTTATTTCACCATAAGGGTAAAAAGGAATAAATGTACTTTTCCCTATAGAGAAGTGGGTAGATCCGAGTTACGCCAACTAAAGTGCTGGGGACTGCTCCTCCAGTTTCCTTGATGCATCTGAATGCCAATGGACCAACAGCATGTTTGCCTATGTGGAAAGGACAAGAACATATGTGAGGTTTTTAACAGAATCAAGAAAGTTGCAAAAAAGAGCACAAGAAATGACAAGTCCGTACAGAATCCCAACCGCTCAGCCCAATGACATCTGTATGTACCGTTCATATGCAATAATAAACTAGTTGTTTGAGATGCCTGATGCAAGATTTATCACTGCTTATAAGTACCAAATAGCAAATGTTGAAATAATTTTGCAAGAAGTACGTGACAGTTGATAGACCTCGAAGGGTGAAATGGGTCCAACCCACCCACTAAGTTTTGCTCCCCAGATCTTCAGATAGACAATACAAACTGTAAGCAGCAGGAAATATTGACAAAAAATCTTACATTGATTCGATTGTACTATAGTCTATATATAGACACAAGAAAATATACTTTACCCTGAGCTTTTGCCCAAGAAACAACTTCCCTGAAGCAAGCTTCTCAGATAGGGGTTCATCCAACAGAGCTTTCATCGAGTACCTAATGGATTCTTTAGTTAGTTGAAAAATTAACTTTGAGAAAAAGCATTAAATGAGAAGAAATGCTCACCACCCATCAGTTAATTCAATTGCTGGAGCTTTATCTTTGCCATCATCTGGGGAAACAAAATGATTTCCAGACCTTGGGTCATGATTTTCACTAACAGCGGAAATGCAGAGAACCATCATTGAAGAAGGTGGTGCATCTCCATCTAAGATCTTCTTGATGGGTGACCTATGCCCATGATTTACTTCTCTCTCATATCTATGCACGAATAGAAGATAATTAAATTACAGAAAGAAGTAACTAAAATAGGTAACAATTCAAGCGTATATACCTGTATCTTAATTCTTCGAGCACATTAGAGACAACTAACAGTTTTCCGGCAAATTTAGCAGGATAACACCTTTCGTAAGAGGCAATTTTCCATACTACCCACTTATAGTGATTTGCCACCCACCTGAATTAATGGAAAGATAATTGGGAGAAAAACAAAAGGAAGTAAACCTAAACCAAAAGCATCACAGACTAAAGAAGAAACGATGATGAATGCATAATCGAAGTTTATTAATAGGTTTTAGTATTTATCAGCAAGCCAAGACTTTAAGTAGGTACACATTACAGATAACACGACACTGTTCTGATAACTAAAAAATTATTCCTTCAGGACCAACTGATAACCATAAATTAATGTGGATCAAGGTTACATAGCAAGAAAAAGAACTATTACTCTTTGGTCAAGTATGGAACTGAAGCCCCATACTGAGACAACATCCCGTAAAATGCTTCTGGTCCGCTACAATTTGGAGGTATTTCTTTTGTAAATGTGTAACTCTCAGCAGCAGAAGGGTTCATTCTCTTCACATATTCAGGCAAGTTCTCCAGCTAATGTCACAGTAATAGCATAAGCTCTCAAATTCAAAAGCAAAGGGATTAGTAGCAAATGAATTTGAATGTGGATACTATTACCTCCTTTTGAACCGAAGGAGGCTGCAAAAGATACTCTTTAAGATACACCCGTGAAGCCTGAAGTGGGTATCTCATGGAAACCCTCTGTTTGCAGGACGCCTCTTTTGGTGCTAACCTATGTAAATCTAGAAGAAATATATGCCTCTGAACCTCGGAAAACAGTACTTTATTTGAACACTAAGGTTATGCCATGAACTTTATCACTTTACCTTTAGTAGCCGAAATGCTATTTTTCTTTAAAGGGGTGACAAATGAACCTTTGGGCCTCTTGAATGGAGATATAGAACTAGTTGTGCCAAGTCTTTTCTTATCACCCAAATATTGTTTGTGGTCCTTGCAAATTGTATTCATGGTATTTGAAATATCCGCCAGTGCCCCATTGGAAGACCTCTTTGGGGGATCAATATTACGCTGAAAAGCATTTCCCACATCAGTTTTGCCTGAGTTCGGTTTATTCTTCAGCTGCTGTCGACCAAAATTAAGGTCACTAGAATGCCTGTTAGAACTGTTGAGTCCGACCTCTGCATCAAACTGTGTAATCAAGTTATTCCCTGGTTGTAGATTTCCCGACTTACCAAATGACTGCATTCGGAGTAAATGTGATCCATGGGGAGATGTAAACTTGCTCGATGAACTGTCACCATTTTCTTTAAATTTGCTTGAAAATGGCGTACTAAAGTCTCTCTTTGGGTTTGACGCACAACTCGGTGTTCCATCATCAGCCAAAGGAAGCATTAGCTCGACTGTGCTTGCTTCATCATTAAGAAATGAGTCACACTCAGGATTTCCGAGCAAGCTCCTTGCTCGTTTCAATGCAGCGCTGGAAACCGAAATAGACCTTCCACCAGCAGTTAGGAATTTGACTGGAGGAGGCTTGGCTGCAGTGTTCATGAAATCAGGAAAGTTCGTTGATTCACTTATCCCAGAACCAGACTTAACTGTAGATGATATAACCTTAGTGGCACTACTAATGGTTAAGTTACTTGGGTTCTTGGACTCTATATGAGATAGATTTTCCCAAGAAAGGAGCTCAGTAGAAGTCGGTTGTTCCTGTTTCTGCTCAAACCCATTTCCAGACTCTTGGTCCCAATTTTCCTCCAGACATAATAAGGTTTTTGCTCTAAGTAGGCCGGCTGAAGATATGTTGACTGCTTTCCCCGAGCCTGTTTGGAACATTGTATTTGACATATTAACTGCATTCCTCGAAGTACTCTGCAAACCAGACATAAATACGGCTGCAGAATTCACCAAGCGAGTCTCGGGTATTAGTTTCAAGGGAGAAGCCTCATTTTCTTCCAAGTCCAAGTGGCCTACACAATATGATAGATGAAAGGTTCATAAGTATGACCCTTGACCTGAGTTAAACCAAAAAAAATACTCCAAATCTATATTTATTATCTGTATGGATTTTACATTTGCCCAGAAAAATACAAACGTTCGAAGGTTTCAGTAAGGGGACGTCGAAAATGTCTTTCAAAATTGTGCATTACACATATAGGAAATTGTGCCCGAGTTTTCTTCCATTGGAAGTAGAAATCAGCTTCGCCGAGAAACATTCACATTATACAACTGGAATACCCCGAATCAAGTAATCATATTTTCGAACTAAATAAACAACCCTTCGATAACAATCGAAACATTTTTCCAATCCAAAAGGAAATAGAGATACCTGCATCAATTGCATCGTGATTGATATCACCAAGAACTGAACGTGCTTTTTCCATTGACGATTGCTTCACATCAACACATCTCCCCAATCCAGTTCGAAACATGGTTGGGTTCTCCACATTCTCCGTTCCATTCTCCAATAACTCCGAACAACCTATAAATTCACAAAGAAAATAGGAGTAATGCTTGTCAAAACCCAAATATACGCACAATTTTCAGTTAACTGGGATGTCGATACTTACCTAGAAGCAATAGATCAGCCATGGAAGGGAGGCGGCGAGTGGCGGCGAGCTGTTGAGCTGCAACGTCGTACTGTTCTTCTTCCTGGAGCTGCCGAACGGTCGTTTCCCACCGGAAATTGTTCTGGTCATCGAAGAATATCTGCCACGTCGACATTTCTCGGCCGGCCACTAGGGTTTCGCGCTTTTTTTCCCGTCAATTTTGTTATTCCGAGTGAAGTGAAGAGAGAGAACATTCAGACATTTTGGAATTTTTCACATTTTAAGAAAGCGGGAAACAAAACAATTGTCGCGGGCGGATAGTTTGGGCTCGGGTTGTATCCAAATATGTTGGCCTTAGAATTGTGAAGCCCAAAATTACCCTTCAAGCTTTTCTTGTGGTTGTATTCACCTTTGGGCTGAAACAAATGGAAAGAGGACTCAAAAACTAAGCCCAAGCCCGTGTATCCCTCGCATTGGGTCCAAAGAAAACATTGCAGGTTGGGTTATGGGTAAATGTTGACGCCATCATGATTGGTTGATGACGGCAGTGGGGTCCACAACATAATTAAAAAGTAGCGAGAGTAATTAAGCTATGGTTAAAACTTCAAAGGTGGTAGGCATGGTTAAGGCGACCCATCGGCTCATAAATAAGGGTTGCACATATAAATACGGTCCTTAATATGAGTGTAAACGAGTCAAGTTGAGATCAAACTTTTTATATTTAAATTTGAGTTTTATCGAGTTGAATCGAGTTTAATTCGTTAACTAAACAAATTATTTATTCATATTAAAGAGATTTATGCATACTTTAACAAGTCAGTATATAAAAAAAAATATGAAAAAAAAAATCTATTTTCGCACAATTAAATGAGTTCGAATTCAAATAGTTAGTCAAATAAGACGAGTCGAATTTATAAACGGGTCGTTTCATTTAACAACTCTAGTTAACTCATAAATATTAATTCATCTTTAGGAACCTACCCAATTATCTTGTTAGAAGAGAAAATATATATATATATATATATATATATAGGATGTGGTTCAAATGAGAACAAAGTCCTATCGTGAGAACCATGAGAACCGCTATTTTTAATTGTATGTAGTGTTATGATTGATTGTATTTAGTGCTATTTTTAATCAGGATGTATTTTATTAAAAATATCAACACAATTTATGTTAGCATTTGGAAAAATGATAGCACCATGTAAGATTAAAAATAGCATCACACACAATTAAAAATAGTATCAAATATGATTATTACGGTTCTCACACCAAAACTATATATATATATATATATATATATATATATATATATATAATTTGAAACACGTCTCCTCTAAAATGGATAGTGAAATATTAGTTTCTCATTATTTTATTTTTATTTTTTAATATGAAGTAGTAAGTTTGAAACTACTGATAATTTGTCAAAAATTTGAAATGGGGTAGTACCATATTAGGATTCCATAATCTCTTTTGACTTAATATATCCTCTCTAAGTTTAATTAGTTAAATAATACAATAGGCAAAAGTTCGTGCATGGGCCAGGCTTGTCTCCCACATTGACTATTTCCTGATATTTCAATTATGATATTCTTAAACAAAATTAATGTTTAGTCGGCCAGATTTTACAATTTAGTTTTTGTAATAGTTAATGTGACCTTTATGGGTGTTAAAAAATTACAAATTATTTAATAAGACAGTTTAACCATTAGGTGGCTCAATTTGTTATCACTTTTTTTTAGATAAAAAAATTATTTATGATATGAAATACCGCATATTTCTTTATGTTATTTTGTTATGATATGACATTTTTATTTAAATATATAAATATTAAAAGAAATTAATAATTATTAAGTCTGTCTGACAACGGTTTATTATTGTTTAATATTATTTATCACATTGCCACTTGTCGGCTGATGGATACTTGAGAAAGTTATTTGAGTGAAGTAATTATGTTGTATAAATGCTGAGATTAATTAGCTGTTTGATTATGGATTGTCTAATTTGAAGTGATTAAAAATAGTAAATCTGTATGATGTCTTTAAGCAAAAGTGTCACATCATTGTCTCCTTACATGCTACCACACTCTAGGGCGTTAAATGAAATTAGTATTTTAATGTGTCAATTGTGAATAGTAATTATCATCATATATCATTAAAAACAGGTTGGCAGATAGATTTCACTCATAGTTTCAATTTCATAGTAATGTACATCACTCCGCAAAAAGGTAACCAATATGATTATGAATATAAAAAAAAAATGTATATATACATAATTATATATATGAATATCATATATTGTATAATGTCATTTTTCCAAGCATTATAATTAAAGTGTATGCTCTAAGTATATCTAACTACAATATTTATATGTATACACACATACTCATAATGAATGACTCGTAGTTGTATTCTCATGTTGAAATATCACTTGTGAGTTGTCTTACATTGATTTGATAGGGTAAATAAGCCTAGTTTATAAGCCTAGTGGGCTACTCCTCCAATCACCAATTGATTTTGGGATAGAACTTCACTTGGGCTTCATTTGGGCTAACCCTCTTATGGTGCGCTTCACCTGTTTGGGATCGCACTCGTTTTGCCCCTATTTGACATCTCAAAATATATAATTGGTAAATGAATGTGAATATGATTATTATGTAATTATATGTGTATGATATTTTATTTCACAACAAGATTTATTTAGAAATATTAACTTGTGTCAGACAATAAATTTGACTTTTGTACATTGTTCTAAAAATCGGCCTAGGTGGCGTCTACGCGCTAGGCGGTGCCCGGACGCCTCCGATTTGCACAAATCGGCAGAAAAAATCGGTCAGGCGCCTAGGCGGACCTAGGAGCTCCTAGGCGGGCTCGGCGGCCAGGCGGTTAGCCGGCGTCTAGGCGGGCTCGGCGGCAATTTTTCAGTTTTTTTTTTTATTTTTTTTAAATACTAATTATATTATTTTGTTCTAATGTTTTCTTTAATATATATTAATATTATTATTTGGACTATGGTGTGTGAATTTATTATAAATTGAGATAGTTTTATTTTGTAGGTAGTTAAAATAAATAAAAATAAGGTATTTAATATTGATTTCTGGGCCCCGACCAGGCGCCGCCTAGGCGCTCTAGGCGCTAGGCGCTGGTCGAGCGCCTAGCGACTTTTAGAACACTGCTTTTGTACGTGGGTTGCTCTTGCAACTAGTATTTGATCTTGTGCATTTGCACATATATAAAAACACGTTTTTGTTTGCGTTTATTAATTAGACATGTACTTCTATCACATAAAAGTTATTACTTTTTCTTAAGTTATTTTTATCATTCAAAATTAATTGAGATTTAAATTTAATTTTAACCATGCAACGTTTACATTAGTAACATGAATAAAATAATTTATATATTTGTGGCATATATTAAGAAAATTAACATAAATAAAAAAATTATTGTTTCTGATTTTTAGAAAAAAAAAAATATGTGTCAATCATATTTTTCTTCCAACAATGCAACCAAATATAGCGGTTACAGCTCTGAATGTGTCAATCAACTTTAAGTTCCAACATTAGCTGTTACACATTTGAATATTTTGCTACAAAATTTAAAATTAATTTAGTAACTGATTTAAAAAATAAATAATCAAAATATATATATATTAAGGTGTACCGATTTTAGCAGATTATTGAGTAATTAATTAAAAAAAATGTAACTCTTTTTGGAGGAAAATGAAAATAGGTTTTATTAAATGTATGAGGTGGTAATTATATATATAGATGGGATAAGGTGATTATCTCAGCATGACTGAAGGTTTTCTAGTTACCGACTTTTAATTAGATGAAAATAAGCTTAATTGGAAATTAATTTTATGTTTGACATAGAATATGAATCATAAAAAAATATATAAATTTAACAAATACAGCGGAGAAGATCTCAATTCAACCATTTCACGTGTATGCGTGAGTATCATTTTTATTTAAATAAATTTAAATAAAGTGTTCAGCAATATTTTAGTGTGACGACTAATTATTTAAGTGGTAGGTATTATTATATTAATATGAGGGGTAATGTGTGTAGATTATGGATTTTCGAAGGTTATTCATAGCTAGAAATTAAAACTGGGAGTCTGGGGTAACTATTATGTTCGAACTCCTCAAAATCCTTTTTTTTTTTTTTTTTTTTTTTTTTGTTTTAATTTACAAATATGTTTATCTTTTACATCATTCTATGTTATTGGAAGATCTAAAGCTAAAGCTAAGTATTGTAGATATTTGAAACTAATGAAAACATACCAATTGAAGCCAAACAGTTTTGATGGGGAAAATAGTCTCTCAAAACAAAAGCTCGTTTATTAAATCTAAACAATCAACAATAATTAAATATAACTTAAATGATCCATTATTTATCTTACTAGTTGGTTAACAAGTCTGAAATTCCGGTTCAACAACTTTACAACAAATGAACTTATAACAAATGAAATTTAATAGTTTGGTGTGGGAGTCAGAGCAGTGTACTATTTATTACCTATGAATTCGTGAGTCAGTGAAGAGATTGATAGAATGTGGGATTTCCCATGAATGTTTATTCTTTTCACCTTTCGACCCCTATTATTCTCCATAATTTTCAAACTGCCCTCTATTAATTTTAGTGTGTTAAATAATCTTTATGTTATTAATTTTAGTGTGTTAAATATATCTTTATTAATCATATTTATCATTTTTCTAGACGTTTTTTTGTTTGGCATGAACAATAATACATGTTTTAAAATTTCTAATTCAACAAAGCTTGCTCGTGATTTTTTTTTTCATTGTTAATAAACTTGTGACTTTTTTTTTCTTTATTGTAGTTGAACTGTAAGTCTCTGTAACAATATTTTTCTAATTCTAGATTAGTAACACATGTTTCTACATCATCTATTAATTTTTTTTCTCCTGGATCTATATAAAATGGAAATATTCAGCTGATAATATATATCTTGCATTTTAGTGAGGTTTCTATCAAATCAATTGTTAGACAAAAACGCTCTTTAAACAAACATGTTTTTAAGTTGATATATATATATATATATATATATATATATATATAAAAGTATGACACAAATCTTCAATTTTATGACAAAATAATTAATAGATTCTCCTATGGATTAACTCGTCTTACAAAAAAATTTAAGATTTTTTTTAATTTTTATTTTGTGTGTGCACTATTAATATTTGATCATGTTTTGCTAATTAATATAGTCCATTGCACGATTTT